TTTAAGTGACAAATGTAGCTCCATATTCTATTAGACAGTGCTTAGAATCACTTTTTTTGGCCAGTCAACTCATGAACCACGTTTGTGCAGAAGTAACAAATCTGAGGCAAACATTTCATCTTAGAATGACTTCTTCACTTCTTTGAAAGTTAAATTCCTACATTTTCTTGAACATGTGAAAGACTAAAACACCAGAACATGGATGGGGCATATCTTCTACTTGGGTAGTGAACAGTAGCCGTTTTCAATAATCTGCCACTTGTATAAGGATGGGTGGCATCAAGGGTGGCTACCTAGCAGCGTGACACGGGCCAGTCCTATGCCCCCATACAAAATACCCCTCTCCACTCCATCGCCACTCACAGCGACCCGCGAGGGCAGACTCGAACTGCTCCTCAGGGTTTGAGTCTGTACATCTTCATGGGAGCAGACGGGCTGGTGGGTTTAAACCTCCAACCTTTACCGCAGTGACCGCCGCTTAACCCGCGGCGCCACCAGGACTCCTTGTTTCCCCTTCATCCACCCTCCAAAACACCACTGCCATGTGGTTAGTTCGCTGATCCTCATTACTGGGTCCCTGAGAGTCTTATCTTTACAGGAGCAGGCAGATTCATCTTTCTCCGCGGAGAGGCCAGCGGGGCTGGACCACCCATCCTGCATTCATCTGGGGACTGGGGACGCGGGGGGCGCGCGCGGAGGCGGAGTGTGTGCGCGCTGCGCCGGGTGCCCACCACCCGAAAGGCCCAGGGACACACGGCCCCGTCCTAGGAAGACGGCGAGCCGTGAGCTTCAGCCGCCGCAGCCCAAGATGAACCTAGAGTGCGGCTCTGCCGGACGTTCCTTTCCAGGATTCCTAAGTTGGGTTTTGTTTTAATACCCTGTTTCCCCGAAAGTAAGACATCCCCTGAAAATAAGACCTACTTACAGGGTTGCCTCTCGCTGAAATATAAGGCATCCCCCCGAAAATAAGGACCCCTGAAGCTACCATAACTCTGGACTCTGGACTATAGCGGCGGGCGCCCCAGCGCTGCTCAGTTGGCCGCAGCGCAGCCAGAGCAAGGTCTCTGTTAATAAAACAATAAACAATAGATGTGTACCGTATTCTTCTTCATGGAAAAATAAGACATCCTCTGAAAATAAGACCTAGCGCATCTTTGGGAGCAAAAATTAATAGAAGACACTGTCTTATTTTCGAGGAAACAGGGTAGATGAGACTCACCATCCTATCCAGTCCCCCCAG